TTGGTTTCATTTGCGATATAATAATGCATGAATTATCCTATTGCTGTCACAACTTCAAGGTCCCCTCCTTATCTCTGATGACAATTACGACAATTTGACACTCATGAAACAACATTCTGAGATTTGACTAATTTTTTTTTCGTATCTCTTTTTGCATTTTTTCTCAAGAAAAATTTCGTGTTTAATTCATATACTGAAATCTTTATTCCGGTATATACTGAAATGTTTCCTCCGGTTGTATGCCGTAATCTTTATTCCGGATCAATTCCACTTGTTAACTTCGGCTGAATTCGAAATTTGAAAGGATCCACTATAAATGGACTGAAAAATTTTTTGAGAAAAATGGAAATAATGATGAATAATAATAAACGACAAAGTCATTTTTACTTACAATTATATTAAATGAATTGAATTATAGCAATTAAACGAAATATTTAATTCTGTTTGACATCTGTTTATACTAATTCCGGAAATAGAACTGCACGAAATTCCGATAATCCTACCAGCAATCATTTACTCCATTTTTTGCATTCTTTCCCACTTTTTATTATTATGTCATGGCTGTTAACATCAATGTTACTAGGCTAAAAATTAAACTGAGTAAATATTATTGGGTTCAAATCACTAGACTACCTTTTGTAGCATCTCATTGTAATCTATTGTAAAGACTGTTGATGTTAATATTACACTAGGCCAAAAATGAAACTGACTGAATGCTGCTAGGCTCTAATCACTGGGCTTTTTGTATCATCTCATTGAGATCAATCGTAAATTGAACGTATTTCTGTTTACATAACTTTAAACTTTCAATTTTTTTGTTAACTTTTAAACTGTCACTCAAACTGCTGAAAGTATGGATTTATCTACTATAACGATACATTCATTCATCCATACTGATTATTGTTGTATCGTTGGTGACAAAGTTTCGTACAGGGTGACATAGACCAATGGACCTGTTTGTGATTGTCATGTATGCGCTGCACTTCAAATATCTGAGATCAGGATAGTGTAGAAAGCTCGAGATCTCTTCTTCTTCAAACATGATCGATCTTCTTTCAAAGGAATACTCTAATTTAGTTCATATTTATCGCATCGTCATATGCACAAATTGCACTATTACAAATACTTCTCCCTTGAATTCCTTCAACTTTTAATTTTTTTATTTTTTTATTTCTCATATCCTATTCTATTTTCAATACTCATTCCATTAATTTCTTTGCTTTTCACTTAATTGTATTAGTTTTTATGTCATTCACTTTTTCTATGTTTCTCTTACTTCCACCCAATACCACTTTTTTCTTTCATTAAGCATTGTCAGTTCAAAAGCATACAAACTTTAAAGTAAATTTCATTGTTAAAAAAAAAATTAAGAATATACCGTAGTATTGGGCTTAAATACCAATAGGAAGTACATTATATATACTTTCGAAGTTATTAAATATCAGCGTAGAATAAACGACGCATCTGTGGGATGAAATGGTCGAAGGCGCAGATGTTCATGTTAAACTGTTGTGAAATTAACGAAAACAAAATTCATTCTTTCTTTCAAACTTCAATTGTATACCTTCTTCTTTGGTGATTTACTATCTTTTTTCTTTTACTCAATAAATCACTATCTTATGTGTCTTCTTCTTTGTTATCATTAAAATTTGATATGTTTGTTTTTTTTTTTTTCTACTTTAACGCTTATGCAATTCATGCTAACATATCTTTGTTTTCATTAAAATTTGATATGTTGTTTTCTTTTTTTTCTACTTAATGCTTATGCAATTCATGCTAACATATGGAGACGGTGATTTGTGACTATCATTTACTTATCAGTTAAATCTTTGAAATACTTTGTGTTTATCAAATGATTTCATATGTTTTAACAATGACTAATTTATTTATGAAAAATTCAAGCAATTTCTCGCTTAAAATCATTTTTTCTTTTCGCAAACAGTTATTTAGTAGAAGATTTTTTCTTTTTTCCTTCTTTTTCTTTGGATTTCTATCATTCAGTAATCAGTTCTGATCCAAATTTTATAGAATTAACATTTATCAAGTTGAAATTACTGCATATAATAAAAAGTATTTCGAGTTACTTTGTACATTTAAATGATGACATTTGCATATTCTTATCATATCACATGAATTTCTTATGAAGCAATTTAAATGATCTTGAGGTTATAAAACTTTAATTGCAATTAGTCAGGGTATTGCTTAGCAAGATACTCTTATTGTTTTGAAAAGATCACTTAAAATTATTTGATTTTTGCGGAAATTTTTGAAAGAGTATTGCTGTTTGACTTGACAGAATTTTTTACTGTGACATTTCTCATGCATTTAAGCATATAATTATAAACTTTGAGGAGAAATAAAAATTTTAATGCTTTTATTGATAGAAAGTATTTTAAAAAAAAAAAATCGCTAACACGGATTGCTTAACATATAAGCATTCTTTATTGATTATCTAAAAAATAATCTGAAACGCTAAAATCTTCCTCAACAATTACATGTTTACTATTGAAATAATATTCAATGATATTGCAGTTATGTCATCAGAGGCGTCCTGTTCGGGCTTTGAACCTCAAATTTATCTACGAGAACGCTGCAAGAACTGTTTCAGCTTACGTTCAAAGCATAACTTTAAAAGTGATACCGAAAGGACCGCCATTATCAGTAATAATTTTGATAACAGTTCAATGAATATTAGCCAACAGCAGCAGCAACAGCAAGAATCCCTTGCTACTTTGAACGGTAAATTATAAAAACACTCATTGTTGAATCATCCATAAAACTTGAACAGTATCCGGATAATTTTTCAAACAGATTCATGGGACCTGACTAATATCCGGTTAATTTCAAACGAATAACATTAATAAGAGCAATCATTTCGATTTTTACTTTTCCTTCTTCTTCATTTGTAATATTTTCTCTCTGTACGTCTAATTACGTTACGTCTAATTTCCTGTATTCTATAAACACCAAAATTATTGGCAATAATTCTTTGAATCATCCCGCACACATATTTTTCGTTCTTTCCGCTTTCTTCTGGAAAAAAAAAATGATTAAGAAAAGAGCTAATTAATAAATGTAATTACAAATTCCTCTCATGACTCTTTGGTCTTTTTCATTATATTGCAGAGTTAAAATAAAAATGATGTCAAACCAAAATGATACAAAATTATCAACCATATCAGTGCAGTGACAGATGAACTTTAAAGAAGAAAGGATGGATATTAAGACATTTAATCCTCCACGCCTGGCAATAACTAAAAATAATTCTATTTTGCTTTTGTCACCATTTAAATCCTCTTCTGATCACATTCTTTCTCCCTTAAATCGCTTATTCCTTCCTTAAAATATTGATTTACAACAAATTTATCAGTGATATCATATCATCATATAATCAGCAGCATCTGCAGTGACAAACGATACTTGTCTTCCATCCCTTCAGAAGCAGCTGTTGATTTCCTCTCACAATCACTGATAAAGTGATAAAAGTTTTTCTTTACTGCACAACTAAAAAGAAAGTCGAAATATAACTAATTTGATCATTTCCACATGTTCAGCTATAAATGATTGCAGAGAAAAGAAAAAACAATTCAGATAATAAAATTTTAAAACAGTTCAGATAATAAAATTTTACTCATTTCAAATTCTCAGCAACAAAAGAGCGAAGTCGAGAAAAACGACGTTCCTGGCGAGATAAAACATCAACCGGACCGGATAACGGTGCTCCGGAACATATCAACGAAGGTTAGCAATGCTAAAAATATAATTAGCATTTGTAGCGAATATTG